CGAGTTCGAGGCTCGGGTGTTCCACACTTCGGGCTTGGGTATGGCTGGCTGACGACGGCTAATAAGCCAGAAATGGCCATTCCAGTCTCCCTTGTCTTTGTCGGTCATACTATTCTGCCTATATATCATGCGCCGCTGTGCGGCTGCTGGTTGGGCTCGAGAGAGAGCCCTTAAGGCACAACGGAACGAGTGAGTTCCGTATGAACGGTCGGTGAGCGCCCCCTACCATATTATGCATATGTCTATTCAGCCCAATACAGTAATAGAGACGGAAGCACCCTCTGAAAGGACTAGAGCAGGTTGAACCCCCTGTGGAGTCCTCAGGATGCTCTAGCGGGCACCATTATGCCACTCAAAGTCATTGCTATCTTGCATCTTGGCCACACACCACACTTTATGACCTCCTCCAAATACGATTAAGTTATCAGTTACAGCACCAGATAATGTGACCATACGCTGACTTGTGCCGGTCTGTTAAAGGACCGTTATTTAAGCTGCTTTCCATGGGCTTAACCAATAAAACTCGAAGCCCAAACCCATCGGACGCTTGGGAAGGGGGGGAGGAGGTGTTAACTTGGTCAATTCGGGGAACTCACAGGCTGCTTCCGGAGGGCTGACCACCCTGAGCGTTGTTGTGGCTCCACGCCCACGCAGCCTCCTCGGACTGGACGATCTCATTGGTCGGAAGGATCTTTGGTCCTAGCGGCATGAACTGGGGTCTGCCTTCCACCGCAGGACTCCTGTTCGCAGACATTAGACGCCAGAGTCGCACACAGGACAGCATGTAGTAGAGCTGAAGGACCGCTGGGGGTGTTGTCGCTGTGAACAAGAGGGAACCAATAAAACAACATCAGGATGGGGGGGGGGAAACAAGGCAAAATAGGTGGTTGTTTCTGCCCTGCCTGACGTCATCAGCCAGCCACACCGAAAGTGCAGAGTGGAGAGCAGGAGGTTTGAACCCGGGTCTCAATTCGTCATTTAGTCATGGGCTCACGGCCCGTTAGGACTGTTCAAGGCCCCATGAGAATGGTGTTCACCGATTGTCGTTTCGCCTTAACCCCGGTTCCAGTAAGATAGCCTGGAATGCCAGTTTTAGTCTTTGATAGGCTCCGGACTCTGGAGGGCCTGATAAACAGAACCGAGATCTTGGTGGGCATCTCGGACGTGGAAGGGGGGGGGGCGAACAATAACCAGTTTTTCCCCGCAGGAAAATTCAGAAAACACTGACTGGAAGCCGTCTCCAAATTTGTCTGCCGTATTGACGCCCGCAGAATATAATCTCAGGTTAATTCATATCCTGTAGTATGCAGGTTTTCTGTTAGGGGGTGCATCAGATGCTAGCATAGAACGGACGCATTAAAGCCCCTATTAGCTGTCTTTATAGTTGATGTCCATCGTCAATGTTTAAAAAATAATCCAAAACGGCTTAATTATCTAGTCATTTCGTAGGAAATAGCGCATATTTCAGACCAGGAGGCCCTGAATTTTTAAATTTGTCGGATTTTGTCCTAATATAAACGCACACTAGGTGAATAAATATTCCGAAATATCTCCGGCACTCCAAAATGTGGCGTTGGTTAGAAATAATTACTCGTATGACTTTGTATTGCGGATTAGTCTGGCACTTGAACTATCGGCAAGGGTATGGTTTATGATTGGTGATACTTAATCTGGGGAGTAACTATGTTAAAAGAAAATAAGTGGCGATATTTATTTGCAGGTTCCAGAGAAAGAAATAAATTTACTTTGCGGTGACTGTTAGGTGAGGGTGGTCAATGTGTTTTGAGGCAGTCATCGGGGTAAAAATACGACAATGTAATACATTTTTGACAATGCTTTCAAAGGGACATTAAATTCACTTTTTACTGTCATCATTATAATAGTAATGATAATAATTATTATCGTTACTATTGTTCTTTTTATTATTAGACGGTAAAAAATAATGTCCCCTGTAAATTGGTGACAATATGGGGGAGCATAATCTGTGATACCGCATAGTTCTTAGATGTTCAGCTCTTTTGTTCAACACAGATGCTCCCCCAGAGTAAGTAAACAAAGCCTCGCCAAATCATCGTTACCGACGGTGTCCATTATGTGTGGCAGATTAATGTGCAAATGCCGTGCTACTTGAGTAGTCAACACAGAGACCCTAAATTTATTCTAACTGCCGCATTGGCCAAAACAGTACAAAGAGGCATATTATTCGTAGCTTTCAGTGGTACGGCTGTATGTTACCTCCCCTAATAGCTTAGCTTAACTTTACTAAAAGCCCACAGACAAGTGTTAGTTTATTCTGTCAAAAACCACATCTGCCTAAACATTCATCAACATAGCGTTCGAAATACACGAGAGGGAAAACCTCAGACCTATTTTGTCATTTGTTAAGCGTTTAATCAAGAAAAGTTGCAAAACCTTATTCGATCTCTGCTAGTTAGATTAATAAACGCGTAAGCTACGAATGCGCCAATCGGCTATTCGGAAAAAAGCAATTGGAGCAATTTTCATAACTGGTGAGACATGTTCACCAAAATTCAGGTGGTCGGTGAAAAGAACCTCGAACGTCGTGAAATTTAGTTGTTAACCTAACGGGATGCAGGTGGAGACTTTGTATCCCTCAAATCACGCGGTTAAATTATTTCACAGACGAAAAGCGGAACCTTTTAAAGTGAAAATTCACGTTCCCCAGGCGACTTCTAATACGGCTGAGAGAAGCCAGTGAGCCTGGTAGTCATCTGGCGGACTCTAGGTGAATTACTTAGGATATCCTGCTTGAACAGTTAACTTACTGTATCAGATTTAGTGGATTCCAGACGTTGCAGTAGGTTGGGCGAGTAACTTGACCCAAATGTGATTAAACTCGCATCGTCGTCCGGCGGGGCCTCGTAGCTCAATTGGTTAGAGCGCTGGCTGTACTGAAGCCTTCCCCTTACTGCGTGGGTTCGAATCCCATCGAGGCGCCGAGTTTTTCGCAGTTGGGTCAATATGAAATAAAGCCATTCGCAGAAACGACCCCAACATTATGCTGTCGTGACAATTGGATCCTCACGAGTGCCGAACGGAGTGGGCTCGACGTCGGTGGCTCGCGCATGAATCAGCTTGCAGTGAGGCGGACTTGCGAAGCGTCTACCGCACCCTGCCCTCTCTCACTTACCTTGCTATGGTGGCAAGGCAAAAGTAATACGATCGGAGGTGTGCGCGGACGCAGTGTCTGACAAGGCTAGACAGTCAATCTACGCGTGCCACACATACGATTTGGTCCCCACTTCAGATGTAACGTAATACAGTAATGTCGACTTGGGTCTCACATGCGTGAGAGCGCCATAAAAGACCACATCATCCACTTCAGCCTGGCTCTCAGCCCCACAGTCATTCTGAAATACGCCCACGAGAACCAAACTTTCTGTCAAGTACGCATATATTGCTACATAAAACTCGACACGCGGATTGTCAAAAACGGTTTCTCAAACTTTCACCCTACAGCTTTCACCAGCATGCTTCCGAAATTTCAACTGCACGTTCCCGACATTTACGATTACTTGCCCCCCCCCCTTCCCCTTCTGCTACTGTTTAAATGCGTTTTTATGTCCCCCCCCCCCTTTTTAAAGTGCGATAGTTCATTTTTGGTCGTATACCTTAAAAAACGTAGTAGGTCTGTTTTCCGCGACATGCGGAAATAGAAGCGTACACTAAAAAGGCAACTCCTTACCGTTTTCATTTATTGGAGCCATTTGGATGCCAGTTAGAAGTTCATTGAGCTCGCCAGATTCCTGCTTCACAGGCCGCCGTTCCTCCTTTGTTGCAACCATTGTCTCCGCGGAGGTTGTGGGTGTGACGGAATCGCCGAGGTTCAGCTGTTGAAGAGCATGTCTGGCGGTTGGAGAATGAGCAGGTAGGTCCTCATTCCCCTCAACCTCCCCGTTCGTCGTCCCCGAACACTTCCCGCCGGTCTCATCTCGTGGCGTCGACGTACTGAGAAAACTCAAATCCAACGGCAGGTCCTCCGTCATGGAGTCGAAGGCCGCACTTGCACTCATTGGCAGTTGACTGTGCGGATGAAAAGGCAGTAGGGACGACATGCTTAGTGGCTGGGGAGTTGGGTCATAAGCCAGCGGAGCAGAGATTTTGTTCGGCGCCGTGAACGTGAAATGATGCTCGCACGCATACTGACCTTCCATCGTATTCACCGCCCGTCAGGCGAGGGTGCCGCCCCACAAATACTCCATCTCGCCCGTACGGTACGCAGAGTATGCACAACCCGCCCAGGTGATCACGAGTCGGTCACATCAAAAGGGCTGGCAAGACCACGCTGACGCTGTTATTGGTTGCACCTGTAGAATACTGGTTTCCTTAGGCCTACCACAGCGAGGGGCGTAGGTGATAAGACTTCTGGTGATGCGCTGGGGGCAGCTCACCGTGCAAGCCCAATCAATAACTCCTACTCTGGGATCATGGCGTGAGAGGGAAATCGATACTAGAGTGCACGGCAAGGCCTGACGCGAGTAGTAAGTGTTATCATCAGGGGGGTGCAGTCCCCTTCGGCAAACAGAATGAGAGACTCACTGCGCTGCCTATTTGCATTTGCGAAAAAACACTCCAGCTAAATCGAAGCGATAAGAGTAGGTGATAACCACATGAGGACTGGGCTTCCTTTGTCGATCATATCGTTCTCTGGAAGGGCACCTTGTACGAGTACCAGAGACACCCAACTTGATCGGCTTGTAAAAACGAGATCCACTCATCGCAGCCATGAATTGACCTTCCACTCTTGAATATACTCGTTAAAATCGTTCTACATCGGGGGGCTGGAGAAGGTTGAACTTGTTGATATTCGTTGGACTCGAGACGCGTTTCCTAGGGCCGGGTGTTAGATCGACAGAAAATTGCCATTCTTAATGTCCCCCCCTCCGATCCTTTATTTAGCACCGATGTTAATAAGCGGGCCATGTCTGACGATTGGTTAAACACGGACTAGAACCATGGGATGCACCAAACACGTCTTCGAGAAGAAAAGCTACCTAAGGAGCAAGCTAATTCCTGCTCTGCGATGGTCCGATAAAACTCCCTTCGGTTAGATCGCAGTTGGTAGCCAGGAATGGGGAAGCGGACGGCGACCTTGACCCTAACCCTAACCCTAACCTCAACCTTAAACGTTAACCGTTGACCCTAACGGCAACCCTAACCCTAACCGAAATCGTAAACGTAAACGTAGACCTTATACATAGCCGGAACTGAAAAACCTAGCCGTAATACTGAAACCTAATCGTACCCTCAAATCCTAACCGTAACCCGAAAACCTAAGCCTAAAGGCATAACCCTAACCCGAAAATCGGAAACCATTAACCGGTACCCTAATCCTAACCTCGAACGTAGAACGGAAGCCAAATGGGTCGGACGGGATTATGGAGCCCCACAAAATAGTCCCAGTAAACCCCCCCCCGCCACCTGTAATACGGGTCCTGGCTACCAACTGCGATCTAACCCTCCCTTCACCTCCAAACCGACCAATCAGAGAGCTCAAGCAATCTATAGGGAACCCTCCCAGCGGCCTGTGCCTACTCCCGAAAAATCGGTATCTGATTGTAATCTGTTCTACCGTTGATTTTCGTCGCTTACACAAAGGACGCTTCTCGTACTCGCTCCGTGCGACTTACTCGAATTCTGCCCTATGGGAAAAGACAAGTAACCTGACATTCACATGTCTTTAAACCCACATGCCCACCACTGTTCCAGATGTCAGGACACTGTCTTTCGGTCTAAGGATGGTGAGTATTTATTCAAACTGTGTGGTTTGGAAACTGAAGTTGTGCGAAATGCCATGACTTTCGATACTGGAACACTCAACCGAGCGTTTGAATCGTACGCTCCACCAATCAGACCGAAAGTCCACCTCCTGTTGGCTGCTATCAGAAATACCTATCGGCTTGCGGACTTTCAGCCCCGTCTGCGGAAGCCCTCGATTGGAGGTCAGGAACAAGCGCGGAGCAGTCGAATCGGTTGTGTGTCATTCCCGTGCACACAGGTGCTTATTGGTAATCAGGAGAATCTCGTTTTGTTCCGTCTAATCGGAGGATCTGCGGGTCACGCGATTGTTTCGCTGAGTCTGCTAGATTTTGGCTCAAATATTAAAAAACGACATTCGCACCGAGCCTGCGATGGTTTGTGTCGAGAAATTTACTCCATATTCATGCATAAAAATGCTGAAATGTCAATCCAGGAAACGCATGAGGAAGTTGGGGGACCCATTGATGGCCGCACACCTAACAACTGCAAGATCGGCGAAACATACGCTCTCAGCTAGTACTTGCCTCATCACTATGGTAAAATCGTACAACAGGCGCATACTGTTGGCAGTCAATGAATGCTACGCGGATATCGCACTGTAGCTGGCGGATTTCGGCTCGGGTATTTATGTCAGCTTTGGGGTCAAGCCTATAAAGCTTCGCTCCGAATGATTTACTCCAAGTTAGTAAGGGCAGTTTACTACTAACTGCCAGTAATGCCATGCTGCCAATATCATGCACCGCTGTGCGGCTGCTGGTTGGGCTCGAGAGAGAGTTCATAAGGCACAACGGAACGAGTGAGTTCCGTAAGAACGATCGGTGAACGCCCCCCTACCATTGTATATTCCCGATCGAAACCGACAGGGCAACGGGCTCGTGGTCCGGTGGGTAGAGGCATGGACTTATAAACCAACAGGTCGCGAGTTCGAGCCTCGGCTGTTCCACACTTATGGGGTTGGGTGTGACTGGCTGACTACGGCTAATAAGCCAGAAATGGCCATTCCAGTCTCCCTTGTCTTTGTCGGTAATGCCATTCTGCCTATATATCATGCGCCGCTGTGCGGCTGCTGGTTGGGCTCGAGAGAGAAAGAGCCCATAAGGCACAACCGAACGAATGAGTCCCGTAAGAACGATCGGTGAGCGCCCCCCTACCACAACTAATTGTGTTGGTGGCAGGGTGAGATAGTTTGATCTGCGAACACGCGCAGTACTTGACTAAGCTCAGGAATGCAGGTGCTCCGATCTACTGGCTTCCTGAAGCAAACAAGCTCCGTATGCGTGGCAAAGGTCACGAACAGGCGATCAACTGCCAGACCGAAGTCGAGGGCAAGTATAACTGCCCAATCTACCGCGACAGGGAATGGCGGGTGGTGAGGCACTGATAAAATTCGGTTCGATGAAGTGTTTATGGCCCATCTGCTAGAGCCCGTCTGTTGACCATCTGCGCCGTGTACGTGTAAGGATGGACTAGATCACTCCGGATGGGAGCCTTTCCAGCGGCTGACAAAAATCACACTCATTTTAAATGAACACTCGTTTAATCAGCTGGAGTTTCAGTAATTTTCCATGCCTGTATATATTACGTAGAAAGTACGAGCGCAGAAATCTCTCCTAATACCCTTCTCCAAATTTAGTACTTGGAGAAAAAGTGCCAAGCAAGCTCAGAAAATTGATATTTAGGGCAAATTTTAGCAAGATGAACTAGTAGATTCAAGTAGAGGGACATATGTACAGTTTTTTAAAGGTTCCCCATGGACTATTCGGCCGGTTCCACATCCAGAAGATTTTATCAAACGTACACAGGGCCATTTGGGCGCCTGTTTCTGGCTTATTTGCTGCCATCGACCAATGAAACCTTAATCCCTGTGGTGGAGGGACGCTCACCGATCGTTCTTACGGAACTCACTCGTTCCGTTGTGTCTTACAGACTCTCTCTCGAGCCCAACCAGCAGCCGCACAGCGGCGCATGATATAGGCAGAATGGCATTACCGATAAAGACAAGGGAGACTGGAATGACCATTTCTGGCTTATTAGCCGACGAGAGAGAGAGAGAGAGAGAGAGAGAGAGAGAGCACGTAAGGCACAACGGAACGAGTGAGTTCCGCAAGAAGGATCGGTAAGCGCCCCCCTCTACCATTGTATATTCCCGACCGAAACCGACAGGACAACGAACCCGTGGCCATTTCTGGCTCCCTTATCTTTGTCGGTAATAACATTCTGCTTAATCACTGTCTTCGCAGCCAAACTTCCACCTACTGTTGGTTTCTAGTCGTCACGTGACCGCCTAGGCGGGTTGTAAACCAAAAGCTTCAAGGCAGAACGGAAAGCATGGGCTTCCATCGCGCGGCCAGCATAGATCGATCACGTCACTGGTATTAGATTGAGCCCTTCCAACTGCAAAATTTTGTGAGAACTAGCCCTGCTCCACCTCATAGCACTAATTGATGACAAAGTTTCGACCTTAATTTTTTTTCCAGAAAAGCAACCACCGGATTCGTCTGCGTATGACTGGTCGAGGGTTAAAGGTCAATTGACGTGAACGGGACAGCATATATAGTAATATCAATAATGATAAGAATAATAATAATAATAGCAATAATAATAATAATAATAATAACGGTTATCATCTTAATAACAATCAGTGTAACGGCATTTGAGTCAAGTTATGAACAGAGGAGCCCTACCCGGTTGGATCCGCGGTCTCCATAAGCATAGCTCGAGGCAGTTGTGGACGTCGGGCAAATTGTACTTCCACCAGTTGAGCATCGGTCTTTAAAGGGGAAGAAGATGTGGCATCGGTGTGTCAGTGCGTGCGTGCGTGCGTGCGTCTGGGACTGTGTGCTAGCGTAGGCGTGTGTGCACACACGTATGCACCCCGGGTGCAGGCTGCGTGCTTGGGCGTGCGAGTGCCGGCCAAGGGGATATGTAAATCAACACTGCTGTGCCCCACAGAGCCTCCCCAGTGCCCTTAAGGTGACGTCGATCGCGCGAGCAGATGGCACCCACTGGGCTGCTCCCTGACACCTGCTCATCTCCGCCTGATGCACCTGTCGGACTGGCGTGAGATCCTCGGCCGACCACCGCCCCCCCCGCCTCACAGAGGCACCGGTAATCACGCACCTGTCGCACGCTGACTGGGATCGCC